ACTCAAAATATATATATATAAATAAACAAATAAAATAAAATAAAAAAGATTTCACATGATGCTTCATCAACTCCATGGAAAAACAGGATGTCAGTTACTGCCCAGAACAACACAAAAATGACTGAGTAAAGTATTATTAGAAGAGAGTTGCTTTTTAGGATGCTAAAAACAATATAAATAGTTTTTGAGATTACAGACCATGGGAGATACCTGTACATGGATTTCTGCCTAAGACATGTTTCTTTATTATGAGATGGATACTAAAAATACTATTTTGGGGGCTTATAAATCTCAGCATGGATGTTGTGTTGCACCTGTGTGCCTTGGTACCTGATACCAATTTGTCCCAGCACCCTTCAAGGACAGGAGATCAAGGCTGCAGTGAGCTGTGAATATGCCACTGCACCCCCACATGGGTAAGAGAATGAGACCCCCAACTGAAAAAAAAATGCTGAAGCTCCAGGCAAATTCCAAATCTCTTGAATCAGAATTTGCATTTTAAGAAGATATTCAGTTCATTTTGTACACATTAAAACTTCATAAGGACTTTCCAACTGGCAATGAATTTAACTTCTGAACAGTATATGCAACTATTCTGTATGATGTAAATATAGCACTCAAAATTGTACATGCCTGTGTTGATGCCCAAATTTATGCTATATCATTCAGAAAAGTAGTGTGCACACTGGCTGAGTGGATTTCATTTCATTCTTTTTTCTCAGACCTTTTTTTTGAGTTGGGTGTCTCACTCTTGTCACCCAGACTGGAGTGGAGTGGCACACTGCTGGCTACCTCAGCCTAGATCCTTCCACCTCAGTCTTCCAAGCAGGTGAATCTACAGGCATGTGCTACCATGCCTAGCTAATTTTTTTATTTTTATTGTAGAGATGAGGTCTCACCAAGTTGCCCAGGCAGGTCTCGAACCCTTAGGCAATCTACTCACCTCATCATCCTAATGCATGGGATTATAGGCCTAGCCATTGAGCCCAGCTTTTTCTCAGACTTAATGTATTGGAAAACATTTCTGTGTTACAAATTATCTTATTGCATAATTCTAGTTGTCAGCTCGATCCTGGCTAATTTTTTTTATTTATTGTAGAGATTAGGTCTCACCAAGTTGCCCCGGCCAGTCTCGTATGCATGGGCTTCATCCTCTCACCTCAGCCTCCCAAAGTGCTGGGATTATAGGTAGGGGCCACAGTACCCAACCTTAGATATTTAATTTTTTCCAGACATCTATCTATATCTTGCTTGAATTTTAAAATAACTTTCAACCTATATTGATAAAATACATTTTATGGTGAATAACTAGAGCTAAAATAAGTGGATCTCTTTTTTGTTAAAGGGTATAAACCCAGGGAGGAGAGGCACTGACACACAGACAAGCCTGAATCAAGTGTCAAGTCAGGCCATCCTATGACTTGGGATGTCCTCTTTTGCAGTCCTGCTAACTGAAGTGCCTGGTGACTACACTCTTAGGAGACACTGAACTTGCTCTCCCGTGTGCCTAGGAGGCTTCATGTGGGTTCTTACTCCTTCTCACTAGGTGAAATATTTTATAACTTGGGATTTTTTTTATGCCTTTCACAAGTGAAACTTAATCCAGAATGAAAGTAGGGACTCCAAGAAACTTAGAATAAACTTAGTTCACATTTTGCCTCAGCATCACCATTTTCCCCTAGACTGACATGCTTTGAATCAAGCATAGGTTAGATATAGTTAATTTCCAATAAACAGGTTTTAGGAAGCATTAAGACATTTTAAGATTACATTTTTCTGCAGGCCAATAGGCAACCTACCTCATTCCCCTCAATAAATCTCCATGAGATGCAAAACCAGAGCAACCCAACAACCCAACTTTTCAACTCAAGGTTTACATACTAATCTCTAGGAAATTTTCAGATTCCTTGTCAAGGAGGAATCAAAAGATCACCTCTTGGCTGGCTGAAGCCATAGAAATTATAAGAAGACCACATTTTGTCAAGGAGTTCTGTAGATTTCAAACATCTCACAAGTCTCATGTTGGAAAACCCCTTCCCCTTGACTCCTCCCATCTAGCCCATCACCTGAGGGCATGAGATGCTAATGTCTGGCAGCCAGCAAAATATAAAACTCATGTGGCTACAGTTTACATCAAAGACCCATGGCTCTGGACAGTCCTGTAGGCTAAAACTCTCTTTTCCCAAAGACCTTAAAAAAACCCTCAATTCTTGGCCCTTCCACACCTCGCTTGTCTCTGTCTGCCCTCTTTGCAATGTGTGAAAAGTGGTTATTATACTTTACTTCTTTCTACTTTCTTAATGGTCCAACTCACCAGTTTATGCTTTCACAGAGGACAGGAATCATTTCTGTCTTTTACCCTCAATACCAGCCATGCGTGGAAAATGCAAGGAAAGCACTTACCTAATCAACTTAAGTGTGTTTCCTATAAATTTTTATCTTGGAAGAAGAGAAATCTTAGACTAAAACAACAGCGAATGTAACCATGAAATGTCAAAATAAGGCAGGGTAGCTAGCACATCGATAGATAAATTTCCCATAGGCTGCTTTTAGGAAGCATTCAGACATTTAAAAATTACATTTTTCTGTAGACCAATTTGGCAGCCTTTCCCACTTTTTGGCAAATCAAAAGAAAACCTCAGAAGATGTAAGAATAGGACAACCCATAATAATAATCACTAAGAATCTTTCAGGACAGGTGTGGTGGCTCACGCCCATGATCCCAGCACTCTGGGAGGAGGAGATGACAGGATTTCCTTAGTATATAATTTCCAAACCATCCACAGCAACTTGGTGAGCTCTTGTCTCTCCAATAAATAAAAAGATTGGCCAGGCATGGTGGTGCACACTTGTGGTTCCATCTGCTTGGAAGGCTGAAGTGGAAGGTTCACAAGTAGGCTGAGGTGGTGGTGGCCATGAGTGAGCCATTGTTCTACAGTCAGGGGAAACAGTGAGACTCCTACTAAGAAAAACAAAAGCTGGTCTCTAACTCAAGCTATAATTCCAGCACTTTGGGAGGACAAGGTGAGAGGATTGCGTGAACCTGTGGGTTCAAGGAAAGTCCAGGCAATTTGGTGAGACCTCATCTCTACAATAAATAAAAAACTAGCCAGGGTGGTAGCACATGTCTGTAGTTCACACAACACAGGAGGTGGCCACAAAATTTTTGATTAATACATTATGTGACAGAGTGAGATTCCAAGTAAAAAATATATATATACTCAAATGTTTTTATCACATAAACAAAGATCTGAGTACTCACTCTTAAGTGGACCCTGTACAATTATCAGAATACTCTAAGAAAGTGATTGGCAGTAGTGGGACACTGCCATGGTGGGGGATATAACATCAGTAAGGGTCCCCAAGCTTTACATGGACAATGACTGCTTATGACCTAACCCTGAATTGTACCCTACCTTTTATTTATTTTATTTTTTTGAGTTGGTGTCTCTCTACGTTGTCCAAAGAGGAGTGTAGTGCCACACTTCTGACTACTGCAGCCTCACCCTGCTGGGCTCTGGTGATCCTTCCATCTCAGCCTTCCAAGTAGCCAGAACTACAGGTGTGCACTACCACGCCTGGCTAATTTTTGATTTTTTTGTAGAGATGAGGTCTTGTCAAGTCTTGAACCCGTGGCCTAAGGCAATTCTCTCCCCTCAGCCTCCCAAAGTGCTGAGATTACAGACTGTGCCACCGAGCTCAGCCATACCTTACGTTTAAAATAAAAATAATAGAAAAAAAGAAAGAGAAAACCATAGAAACCCGGTGTCCATGGATGAGGAACATATCAATGCACAATTTCTATTCCATATTAAGGATTTCAAGTCATTTCTCTGGAGAAAAAATCACATTTGAATAGAAATGTAAAAATTTGTAGAAACATTGTGTCAGCATATTGCAACATAACATCATGATCAAGCTCCCTTTATGTCACGGACGCTTAGGAGAGTCAGCATTTGGGAATCCAACAATACAATTAGTCACATTAATAAAATCAATGAGAAAGACATATAATCTGGTTAATAGATTAAAAAGATATTGTGAAATTTACAAAAAAAATTTACATTTAAAGATCAAATTATAAAGAAGTGTAAAATATTTCTGAAACATGAAAAATGGTAGAAATGTAAAATAATGAACATACATTATTGGGAAGAAAGATTAAATGATATCATTAAGTCAATAATCCTCTAATCAGTTTATCAATTGATTTTCATACTGATATACAAACAGCTGTTTGTTTTCTGAAGAAAACAAATTTTTTGCAAACAATATTTAAATTGGAAATACATAAAAAGTTTGAAAGACGCTATCATCCATAATAAGGACTTGAAAAGTAAAGCAGTGTGATAGTGACTTTAAAAAAAGACTGAGAGTGGAATACTGCTGGGGGAGTGTGGGACAGAATTCATCAACAAGTGTACCTGCATAATGGACATTTGTATACATAGCCCTGAATTGTTCCCCACATCTTAAAAATAAATGAAGACTGAAAAACCATGGGAATAACACAGTTTTAAAGTAGAATAAGATATATATGAAGGCCGGTCATGGTGGCCCTTGCCTATAATCACAAAACTTTGGAAGAAAGAGGTGAGAAGATTGATTGCCTGAGCCCATAGGTTTGAGAACAGCTTGGACAACTTGACAAGACCTCATCTCTACAATAAATCAAAAAGGTAGCCGAGCATAGTGGTGTGTGCTGATAGTTCCAGCTACTTGAAAGGTTGAGGTGGAGGGATCACCTGAGCCCAGCAGGTCTAGGCTATGGGGGTGGAGGATGCTACTGCACTCTAGCCTGGGTGACAGAGTGAGACTCCAATTTAAAAAAAAAAATGAGTATCAGTCAAGGTTTGCACGCTCTAAAATCATGACATTCCATAGGAAAAGAGACACAGCCTCTGACGTGGAACACATTTACCTGATAGCCAGCCATTTTTGCCTCGACTTTCTCCAGCATTTCTTTTCAGATGAGATTATCTGGACAAGTCACATCTATATGTTGAAGATATGCCTTTATTTTTTAAAAATTAAATTAAATGTGTTTTATGAGTCTGAGTATCACTCCGTAAACCAGGCAGGCGTGAAGTGTCTCCACAGAGCTTATCACCATCTTGACCTCCTGAGCTCAGCAGATTCTTCCTTCTCAGGCTCCCAAGAATCTGAAATTACAGGCATGTGTGACCACTCTTGGCTAAATTATTTCAGCTTTTATAGCTATATGGATGTGCTGTGTTGTCCAGATGAGCCTCAAATTTCTGGAGTCAAGCAATCCTCTCCCCTCTCTCTCCCCCACCACTGACTTGGATAAAAACTCAAAAAAGTACACAAACCCCAAGAGGCTCATCTTCTCAGTTTTAATTGTCCTCTAAATAAAGTCATAGCCCCTGTTACAACTTCTTGTCTTGACTTCGGCTGTCCCACCAGGCAGAACCAGGTTTGGACCTGGTGACAAACTGCCAATGACCCTTGAAAGGACAGACCAAGAGTGGGAAGACATTTTTCATCCTGTTCTGAAACCCTGATACAATGATGAGAAAGTAGAAGCTATGCTTTTGGAGAAAGGCACACCTTAGGCATAATTAACTTTGCCGGTTTTGTCTTTCCAGAAACAGACTTGCAGGTATCTGAGGTATATCATAGTGGCAATCAAGCTTGCCTAGAGTAAAGGGAATTTACAAGACCTAAGACATCATGCATTGGGCAAGGACTGTAAAGTCATAAAACTTGTAATTACAGAAGTTATAACTGCTCAGAGGGAGAGCAGATGGGGATTCGATTTTCCAGGAAATTGGGCACTATCTATAGGGAAGCCAAGGATCCCCCAAAGCTACTCACTGGGAATGCCTAGGAGTTAACCCTCCACTAGCTCTAAGGTATGTCATTTGTGAAGGTGCAGAAAAATTAGAATCCTTGTCACATCCTTCCCTCAGGGCTATGGTGATATAGACAGACATTAATAGGTCTCTATGTCACAGGATCTCCAGGACATCCACAGGTGGTCGACAAGGAAGTCAGGCATTCATGTGCAACATCTCCAAGAAAAGGATTTAAGCCAGGACTCTGGGGAGCTACAATGCCACACTCACCTAGACTGTAGGCCCACTCCCTGTCTGTGGGGGGGGGGGAAGCTTTTCTTAAATAAGTCTTTTCTTCTCTCACCTCTCTGTGTTGCAATTCTTTGCAATTTACTCAGATCTCTGGGTTCCCCTACTCCATCCATTTTCCCTCACCCTGTCCAGTACCCTAACAACCGTGATGACTTGGTCTAGGGATTTCCACTGGATATTCCAGATCAGGCCACTGTGGGGCTCTCACCCACCGGAACCTGCCCGTGGCCAGCTTCCCCCTGCCTCTTCTCCAAGCCTTTACCCCCAGGCCTTATGGAGACCCCAGACCACAAGCCCTGACTAGGACTTAGGGATTCACGATCCGCTGTTGGCCCATGGGAACTCCTTAACACTGTGCTGGAGCATCCGTTTACAATCTAGGAGAGAGGGACAGGGCCAGAACCACAGCCCCTTCCCCCAGGTGCCCCCATGCCGCTCAGACCCCCCACGACAATCCTGGGTCCCACACATACGCAGCGCAGGATTGCCTGGAGAAGCCTCCAACAGGGCGAGATCGCCATGAGGACAGGACCCTGGGACCGAACCAGACCCACTCCGTGAAGAGGGGACCGGGTCTGAGTCGAGGGCGGGCACAGGTTCAGGATCAGAACTGAGGGGGAGGTCGGTCTGCCACAGCCGGGTCATCCGTGTCCATCCCGCCTCTCGCTCTCGCACCCACACCCACACTCACCATCTCCCTGCTTCTGGGTGTCCCAACATCTTCCTTACTGACTCCCCGGACCTGCATTTCACAGGGAGAAAAGGGAAGAAACAAAGACATGGGGCTCTTTCCGAGATACTGCAGCACTTCCGCAGGCCCAGAAAACAAACACCCCGGTCAGAGCCCAGAAGCCACCACTTCACTTTAACCTCCTTTCTGATTGGACGGTTTCTGAACTAGCATCCGCTGATTGGATAAGGTGACAGTCCACCACCTTTCTGATCTTGAATGACAGCAGATGTGATCCAATGGGGCTGGAGGTAGAAGGAAAAAGAAAGGCACATTTTTGCTTGTAGCATTTTGAGGTTGAGTTGCCTGCCTGCACTGGAAGTTGGGAGGAGGAGCAGGATGTGGCATGCATCGTGGAGCATGCTGGGAACTGTGGTACAAGAATGAGGCCTGGTGACTCGATCGCCAGGCTGCAGGACTCCGTCCCAGTCTGCAGAGGCAGCAAAACACTTCAACGTACACTGTGGGTAGTTTCAAGGGGAGTCCACATTTTTTACCCTGCTGGGGAAATCCACATCCGCCAGTGACATGTAGGACAAACTGGCCATTGCCACACCCAAGTACCAAAGAAACAAGCCCCCTGAAAGAAGAGTAAAAAGTAAAAAGGAATAAATATATGAATAAATTAATAAATAAGAACTAAAAAGAAATAAGCCCCCCCCCCAATGCTCCTGGATAAAAGGAGAAAGTTTGGTAAATTCTTCGGGTCCTCTCCCATTGTGGGAGGTTTTCTGTCCTCAATAAATCCTGCTTTTTAAAAAAAGAGGGAGAGTGTAAGAGAAAAGAGAAATACACAAATGCATGAAGTCCACGAACGCAGAGGATCTCCTTGCATGTCGGAATATTAAAGACTCTAGGCCAGGCTTGCGTGTCAACGTGAAGTGCCAGCACTTTGGGAGGCTGAGGCGAGTGGATTGCCCGAGCTGGGGCCTCAAAACCAGCCAGGGAAACTTGGCAAGACCTCGTCTCTACAATAAATCAAAAAAATTAGCCAAGTGTGGTAGTGTGAGACTATAGTTCTGGTTACTTGGAAGGCTGAGGGGAAAGGATTGCCTGAGACCAGGAGGTTGAGATTGCAGTGGCCAGGAGTGGGCCACTGTACTCCAGCCTGGGGGACAGAGTGAGACTCCAACTCAAAAAAAAAAAAAAGTAAAGACTCATGTTATGCACTCAATGACACTGGAGCAGATAAGCTTCTAAAACAGGCTCACAATGATATATTCTCTAGAACCCCCAAAGGACAATGTTGGTGATCTGGATGATGCCATTACTGAGTCAGATCAAAGAAATCATCTCCATCCATTAGGATAAATCTGGATGTTCTCTATTATAAGTACTCATCTCTATGAGTTTGGAGAGAACTGGACACTATTGTACAAAGACAGCACTGTGCTTGTCCGCAGAGCAGACTGCTGAATGGGTTACTGAGAATTCATTTGATAGAAGGACTTTCTTTTTTTTCTCCTGAAAGAAAAATGAGATAAGGAAAAGAAACTGGATGATTTTCAGTACCTGCAGATTCAACAAAAAAAAAAATGGAGAATCCCGCCAGAGCCCATGGGTTCTAGACAAGCCCAGGCAACTTGGTGTGACATCATCTCTACAAGAAAAAAAAAAAAAAATTAGCCAGGAATCATAGTGCTCACCTGTAGTTCTGGTTACTTGGAAGGCTGAAGTGGAAGGATCACTGGAGCCCAGCAGGTTGACGCTGGGGTGGTTGTGAACTGCACTCCAGCCTTGGCAACTGAATGTGACTCCAAATTTTAAAAAAAAATTACATAAAAAGAGAATCCCATGCAGCCAGATGAAAAAAAACAGGGTGGGGGAGGGACAGACTACATACTGTGGGATCCAGCTAAGGCCTATTCCTGCATAGCCAGGAGCTCTTCCCCCTTATGCAGCTCTAGTCCCCACCTTGGAGCATCCTTGCACAAAGTGAGGCCACATTTCTTATTTCTTGCCATGAAGGAACCCACAAAGTATGGCAGACCTAGGGACCTGGCCTCCTGGGCCCTCACTTGCCTGATTTTCATAATTCCTATAATCTAGAGCAAGTATTGTACCCTGAAATCATAGCCCTAGTGCCATCTGCTTGACCTCAGACTTCTGCCTCATTGATGGTTAGGTAATGGCCACTCAGGACATGGATGTTCAGTCATCATTGCCTCCTTGAGAGGATAAGGTTGATGGCTGGTCTGTGGGTTTCTGCCCACCCTAGTTCAGATGGCTGGTTGCTTTTCAAGCCTGGTGACATCACTGATCTGGCCCTGCTGACATGACTGGGCCTCAGGTACCCACACACTATGCCAAGGGTTGTCACCCTGCCTTGGGCCAAATCCTAGTTTTGGTCAGGGCCACATGGTTCACTGTATGATCAGCCTAGGTATCTCTAGTACATATCCTCTCCAAGAGGTCAGGTGAAGCCAAGTTGGGCCCCTCTGGGTGTAAGACTTGTGCCCTTTAACGAAGGCACTGTCACACAAATCGGCCAGTATGAGGAAGAAGACATGCTCCTGACTGGCTGAGGCTTTGACAATGCCACACTCACCCTCCCTTCCAGATGCTTCCACGGTCCAGCTTCCTTGTTGATGCTGATTTCTTAGGGCTGTGGAGTTATGTGGAGCTTTGGAGAACTTTACTGGATGCTGCCCTGAGTTTTTCTGGGTCATGTGAGTCACCCTCCCATATGAAAGTTAATATGCTGGTGTCACCATAAGAGAGAAGGGTATCTCAGCATTTACAGTGGACTAGGCAGGCCCTGGTGTTGGAGGCCCAGTGGGGTGAGGTTGTCCTGTGTTCCTAATCTCACAGGGAACCTAGGATAATATAGGAGCCCAGCATCCTTGTTCAAAGCTGTGCAGCCATTGACTCCTGATCTCCAGATGTGTGGGGAGCTTTACGAACAAATTTCAAGAAAGAAATCACCAAACAGCCACAGTCTGCTCTGAGTCAGGAGTATGCTGGTCACACCTGAGCCTCCAGGTCCCAGATAGGAGCCTGCTTCCTTGCAGTCTGTGGAAGCCCCAACCTACACTTTTGCCTCAGTTTGGGGATCAGTCCAGTTTAGTGACATCAGGCAAGGATGGCTACTAGTTGAGGAGTAGTGCCACATGGTTTTGTTTTTATAGTTGGAGTCTCACTCTGTCATCCAGTTTGGAGTACAGGGGCATTCACGGCAACCAGTCTCAACCTGCTGAGCTAGGTGACTCTTCCTCCTCACCTTTCCAGGTAGTTGGAACTACAGGCACATGCCAGCATGTCCAGCTATTTATTTATTTTGGGTTGGAGTCTCACTCTGTCACACCATGCTGGAAGGCAGTGGCATGCTCCCAGCCACCACAGCCTCAACCTGCTGGGCTAAGGCAATACTTCTGCCTCAGCCTTCCAAGTAGCTGGAAGCCGGGTACATGCCACCATGCCTGGCTAAGTTTTTGATTTATTGTAGAGATGAGGTCTTGCCAAGTTTCTCAGGCTGGCCTCGAACCCGTGAACTCACAGTCCTCTCACCTTGGCCTCCCAAAGTGCTGGGATTATAGGCATAAGCCACCATGCCTGACCGAAATTTTCATTTATTGTAGAGATGAGGTTTTGCCAAGTTGCCTAGGCTGGTCTTGCATCCATGGACTCGCACCCTCTCACCTCTGCCTCCCAAAGTGCTGGGAATATAGGTGTGAGACACCATGCCTGGTCTAGTTTTTTATTTATTGTAGAGATAAGGTCCTGCCAAGTTGTCCAGGCTGATCTCGAACCCATGGACTCACAGTCCTCTCACCTTGGCCTTCCAAAGTGCTGGGATTATAGGTGTGAGTCACCATGCCTGGTCTAGTTTTTCATTTATTTTAGAGATGAGGTCTTGCCAAATGGCCCAGACTGGTCTCCAACCCATGGGTTCAGGGAGTCTTCTCACCTTGACATCCCAAAGTGCTGGGATTATAGGTGTAAGCCACAGTGCCCAGTCTGCCCCATGGTTTTCAAGAGTCCAGCTGGTGGGCTGGGAGAGGCATGCTATCTACCTTGAAGAGCATCCTCAAGTTGGTGGATAGCTACAGACTAGATCAGCTTCACCACTGAGCTCATCTGGCTCTCACTGTTTGGTGCCCCAAGGACCCTGGTCTCTGGAGTCCTCCGCTTTTCTATTTGGCACCCATGTTCTAACGTTAAAGACACCCATACAGGAAACTGATCCCAGAGCTAAGGGTGTGTGCAGCCTGAAAGATGGTTGCTGTGGGATATCTCAGGCTTCACCTGTGATGGCTCCCTGCCTCATGCACTCACCCCAGGGCTACTCTACCTCACCTTCAGCCCTGGTCAAGAACTCAGGTGGGAGAGGCCTTCACTATCACCCAAGTTTCTTTGCCACCCTAATATTAAAATTGTCTCCACTGCAGGGTAGATGCTCCCAGGCACTGGGTCTCCCTGTCCTCCGGGGCTGTCACTCCACATAATGGAAGGACTAAATATTGACACACTCAACTGAACTCTGAGTTCTGGGTGTGGGCTGTGGTTCCAACTGGGCCTCTCCCAAATTCTACCTCGGTCTAGGACATTAATTTTCTCCACTCCCTTGTTCAGGGCATTGTGTCCTGCCAATTTTGGAAGGAAGGTGCTTGGGATTGAAGGATTTCCTGCTGCTTCCTGGGGCTGTTGGTATTGACTCATACAAATGGCTGCGATCTCTCTGGTGTCCTTCAGGTACCTTCAAAGGCAGGTGCAGGAGGGTATGGCAGAGGGACTTGGAGAGGTCTAGCCCTCATCCATTGCCCTATGACTGAGGCATGTTCAGTAATCTAAAGGTCAGCACCTGCCCTGGGACCCATCTAGGCCTGTTTTCAGAAGCATCTTAGAGTAGACGATGGGGAGAAATGCCTAAAGAAATGAATTAATGGGGCCTGAGTTCTCCCCTCTTTACTACCCCAGAGGGTGACTTGGGAGTTGACTTGGTGCTGGACTCAACCTCAGGACAGATCACACTGTATCCTTCTCAGCTGAGCCCTGGAGTGTCGGGAGACATAATCTTACAGGTGCCAGTTCTGAAGCTGCCTGAAGCATACCCACTTCGCCAGGCAGGCAGAGCCACTGGTGAAAACCATGGAATTG